ATTAAAAGTACTCTATGCAATGAGAGATTTTTATCACGGTATGGTACGGTTTCAAAACGCTGGGCAATTTTTTTGCCCAACGTTGGGCACCAGGTGAATCTCCTAACACTTTGGTGAACAGATTACCTAACTGCGTTTCTCTCCTAAAATATGGGAAAACCTGTCTCAATTTACCCCACGGTCTACCAGTTTAGCAATTCACCTGGTACCCCGCGTTGGACAATAAAAAACATATGCGTTATATATATAACGTTAAATATATATATATATATATATAACGATATATATATAATACAAATAAAATATATCTGCGTTTTTATAGTGCAACCTACCAAAACCAACCTATCTCTTATACAATCAGAGCTTTTGAGTTTGTGGAATGTTTCAATGAATAATTTACGGTGGTCAGGATATTATTGAGTATGAGGTATTCACTCCAAAGCGGAAAACTGGATTACCAAAGATTCCACCTGGAGCCATCCAAGTATATATGTCTCTCCTCCCCCGGAGCCCGTTATCCATACAATGACGTACTGTAAAATGGGCCCACGAATTGGAAGATCTGTCCTCTGTTCCTGATGTTCACCCGAAGGTTAAGAAGTCAGCCACAGAACCATGCAAGAAGACAAAGGTTACTTTATAAACAAAAGTCGAGGCGCCAGTGGAGAGCACTCCGTCTTTGTACTTCAGGGCCCGTTTGTCATCCCAGTCCACTTGACATTGTAGTCAGGGCCCCCTAGGTGACGTCAAGGACACAGTGCCTGTCTGCTAGGCAGACGTCGGGGACACGCACTATTGCCTGGTAACCGTTGTACTGCCTGCAAGTGATGTGAGCGGTGGTCAGCTGTGGTTCTCAGGAGTTTCTCCTTCACGATTTCGAAGTGATTTTCAGTACACGCGCCCTCTTAATCGTGTGACGTGGTGGCGGCTACCCATAACCTGCCCAGAGTACGAGTTACGATTGAGTGAAAGACATTTTGAAATAAAAATGACAACGACGACACTCCAAGACGCCAACTTTTAACTGTGTGGTGATTGATTGCGCACGGAGCAAATTGGATTTCACCGAATTCACGTTTTGTTTTCTGTTCACGGGCTCATTCAATCATTCCCCATTGATGTCCATTATAATATTATGTCTGTATTAATAAACATAGTTTTAACAAGGCGGGGGAATGTTTAGGGAAGTTGTCTATTGCACTCAAGATGCATGAAGATAGTAATTCTTAGTCGATCACATATTCTTGCCAACAAACCGAGCTGAGCGTTTTGTATGCTGTATTGAATGTGTTACGCGCCACACATCATGTTGTAGGCCCTGCACATCTGTTATTTCGATTTGGGTAGAGCGCGTACCCGGCACCCATTGGGACCATGACGAGTTAATTGCAACGGACTGTCCTATGTTTATCAGGTGAAGTTGTATTTTTATGATCCACGCGACAAGACGCACGAATTCATTACAAACGTGAGCATGGCCATTTAACTGACAGCACACAGGTAATGTTGATTAAACAAAAATCTGGATCAAAAAGACCGTCTGTATTAAAATCTTCGCCGCGACTCAACCTATTCTCAAGTGGAACAGAAATCATTATCCCTCACCCCACTGTCAAACTTAAATCATCCTTTCAAAATAATACCGTTGTTTCATGCACGATTCCATTGTATAAAGAGGACTGTTGAGAGCAAAAAACATGACTTTCGGGCAATTCATTGGCCGTTACGGAACATGGATTTCCACTCCCGAACTTTTATACGCACCACTTCCATCACAACAGAGAACCACATGTATTTTGTTTCTTGCTCGATTCAAAGGGCCATGTATAGTATTCCATGATTCGAAGGGACTGAAAAGTACGAAAAACATGTCATATTTGAGTTTTTTTTATCTTTCATGGCTGTGTGAGTGTGTGCCCGTTTTCTGTGAAGTGCTCATTTGTGTAGAACAAAAGCAGTGCAATTATAGTGCATGAAATGATGGCATTTTTAATGACAAATGGAAAATCTTTGTTGCCGAATGTAAATAGCTGATGACATTCATCAACAGTGGTATCCTGAATTCTGCTCTCATTGACAAGAGTCGAGTCAATTCTGCGTTCTCATTTGTTCCAATCACTATGTGCGTTTTCACGCAACTCGATACCCAAGAATACCTTTAATGGTTCGGTGTGCTTCCACAGAGGACACAAGGTTCAAACCACAAAGCCCAGCATGGCAGTCAGTTCTGCATAGCTGTGTTGACATCGGCAGGACACTGCTTGGCTAGGTGAGATGTACATGTACATGTACATGAATACATGTACATGTACAAGCTGGAGGTAAAGTCGCCAACCCAAATGTCACGTAGTCGGCCGCAAACACGGACCATGCGGGGCCGGCAAATTAGGTAGGCGGGGCCCAACTGAAATAGGAGTGAAATCCTAACACGTGGTCCATTTTCCCATTTCTGATCATATCCGGAGACTTTTCCCAACTTGAAGGGTGAGGTGATTTCTGTCATATCCTGTCATTCTTACCGAGGAGGGAAAGGCCAATATGGTTCCAAAGAAAACACATAATGACATAGGCAAAGGGGGAACAGGAGACTATTTTAGGAGTGTGAAGGTCGTAGAGCTTTTCTAGCAGCAATTCAGTGTTACACGACACTAAATAACTAGAGTTCCTTAAAACTTCTTAGCCCTCGTTGAAATTGAGAACGAACGATGCTTTAGGACTGAAGCAATTTACTTTTATTCTGGTAACTTTTTCCTTTCTCCCTGCCAGGCCTAAACCAATCTGCAGTGCTTTCTCATGTCCCCTTTATCACTGAATGGAGGGAACGGGCGGCTTAGAGAATTTACTTCAAGGGAAAAAATCAATGATTTTTCTGAGGTGCTAAGCCTTGGACTTACGAGTGCTCTTTAAGAGTTTTGAAAGCTTCAGGGTCTCCTTAGCAATTTTTTGTAGTTAAGTTAAATCTTTGAAAGATAAAAAGGAAGAATCTTTACCCCAACAAGTTCATGCAAGCAGCCAGAGCAAAAATAATGAGGCATGTGCACGAAAGTGAAAGCCCCTTTTCGATTGTTTTTCCTGACTGTGTTGCTCCAAGTACTGCGTACACCAAAATTGCATACAAATTATTATTACCTCAAAAGATTACAGTAGAATCCTGTAACGGGTATTCAGATCAGGCATGCATAACTATATACCGTAAGTTTGCAGAGGGAGTCGAGTTAAGGTTAATTGTTGATAAGGGGAATACCACGTGGTGTTTTTGTTGGATGGAATTTCCTGCAGTGCCGATTGTCGCTGTCAGTCTTGTCATTCACTGCCATGGTCGTGTATCCGACACAAATATTTGGTTAACCTATTCCATCTTCAATGTCTTCACAGTATTGATGAATGTCATCATCAGCATCATTTCCGCCGGCCAGCTAGCTCAACGACGACTCCGGCTGTGGCCAGGCCCCTCGGCTGGCCGCCAAGCCTCCGGATCCTCATCGTAATGAACTAGCCGGGTCGCGGCGGAAGTGGTTGACATTCCACGGCTTTCTGGCGAGCCTTCGGTATGGGGCAGAGCCCAACTGTTTGGGGCACGGAATTAAGCAATGCTGGGGACTGGTCTTGGGGCGCTGCAGCGAGGTATGACGGGGACAGGCAAGCAGCACACGCTCCGCGAACATTGCTCAGTTCGGATAACGGCTCCACGTGGATAGTGTATGCATACTTATAATACTGCGCAACGAAAAATTTAAAATTTGCACGGTGAATCAAATTTTACCTTCTTTCTCAAACGGACTTCCTCTCCCGTGAAAGAAAATACAACTTGGCTGAGAAAAAGCGGGTCAGTGGGCACCACCACTTACGTGGTACCATTCATAACCGAGTTATAATGAGAGTGATAGTACAAATTGTTCGACAGGCAACAAAACGGGCCCCACCGACCAAAATCTTTTTCCGATTGTCCCGCCGTGTGAATGCATGCATAATGGTTTAAGGCCCGGGGCTAAACTGCGATCTGCTGCGGTTGAGGCCAGGCTCGGTAGTCGCGTGTTGAGAAAAAAAGAAAAAGCATGAGACTCCTCGTTCCTGTTTATCGCAAATTTATTTCTAAAAATGAACTTCGCTCGTGCACTTTTCAACAGCCCCATGGCCCCCGGGGAAAATAATCGGTCAAATTATTTGCATTAGGTGATCAAGTGATACACCTTATCTTCGCAATGTGGAGACGATTCATAATCATTCGTGGTAGCGATTAATCACTAATGCTTTATACATAGGACGGTACATCACTTACACACTGGCGTAATTTGCGAGCGTCATCTTATTCCTCTCGCAACAATATAGCATATTTATATACCTGCAAAGTACATGTAACAACCGATTTTTTTGCAGTCTACATGCGTTTGTGTCATAGAGAACATTGCAACTGAACTTTGCAGATGATACTGTTGAAAAAAATGCACAGGCCTCAACGCGACGTGTTTCCACTGCACTCTTCGCGCCGACCGATTCTCCACTTCCACTCGCCAAAAGTGCAAAGTTGGACGTGTCATCTAAACAATCGCGTGAACTTTGACCACCCGTCTATGTCCCGTTAGCGGGGAAACATGCAGGCCCCCGTGCATGCACGGAGCAAAATGTCTGATCTAAAGATGGGACATCGTTCTTGGTTTATGCGGAGGGGTGTTGTAGAAGGACTGGACAGATTAGGTCACTCACTGCTCTCGAAACCCAGGAATGTTCCAATTCTGCGAACTCAACTTGTTATATCAGAATTTCCATATCTCCTCCTAGTATTATTAAGCAACTACTCTTGCTGCCCAAACTCCTCAGTGCACAGACCTGGAGAGATGAGTGCACGCAGGGCAACCCGCAAACACGCTAAACGGAACCAACTGAGAGCGGTCTATCAAGCGCTGGCTTCACGGGGTACGTCGGGTTTAATTCACCGCGGTCTCCACTCACCCATCACAGTCTCAACAACAAGCAAGGATGGAAACAGTTGGAACAAATTATTTCGTAGCATTCTTGCTTTCCTTGTATTTTTTTCTTTAACACCCTCCTGAAAAATAAATAATATAATAAAATAGAACTCCAAATATTTTCTCATGTACGAAATACAGATAAATAGTTCCTTTCTTCAGAAGCAAAACACAAGTCAATCCTTTTTTAAAAGAAGTCAAAAATTTGTTAGGGATCTGCAACTGTGCTTCCTCACTACTGTGATTTTCGAATCACAGGCATGTTATACGTTCAGATTTACAGTGAGCACGCACAAGCTTCATTACGAACACGATAACCCGCATGCACAATGACCTTTGACACGTGACACAACATCGTGCAGAAAGTGCGAGATGTTCACCACTTGTCTCCCTTTCACGCGCCACAACCTTCCTTTGTCGTCTTCCGATATTTTACTAAAAAATAAGAAACCAAGGTCAGAAACAACTGGTTGAAACTAGACGTTGAGGTTGAACCCATAATGTGTCAGATTGTTGGGCTTCTCGTGGACATTTTGGTGAGCGATCTCTTGCAGTCTGTGGTAACATTCTATTCTAGCCAGTTCCTCAAGATCAGGGCCAGGAAATCCGTATCGTTGGACAGCATCAAACAGCGCTCAAATACATCCACAGATGGGTGCAAACTCGTTTTCCCGTTTACAAACCAATTGCTTCTCAAAAATCAACTAATTATTTCTACCTACGATGTTCTGTCTTTCAGAGTATGTGTTGCACAGACAGAAACGAACCATCTTGTATTCTTTTTGTTTATCATAAGGGGATACAATGCCACTGTTTGGAGACCCATGTTTGACCATCAGTCCTTTCTGCAACCGAAAAATGGAACATTTCACCAGCTTCCGTACTGGGGTGGACATCTCAGACTCTGTCTACCCGCCACAATGTGTGATCAGTCCACAAGTTATTATTCTTCTAATGAGTACAACAATATGTAACATTTCGGAACCTTTTATACAAACAGAAAAGGAAACTGGCAGAATGCAGTTAAGCATCATAACGATAACATGTTCGAAAGTTAAAACATATTCCGCCGAAAAAATAACAGCGTCACCTGTTAGTCCACGGTGTTAACTCTCTGTCTTGCGATACAGGAAAGTGTTAACATCCGCGAAGTGGATCCAGTCTTCCACAAATTAAAAATGTTACTGTTTTATACAGATTTATTTTTCCCCTTTGTTCTCATTATCATATAATTTGGTCGGTGCTACAGCACCGGTATGATACATTACATTTCTTTAAAAAAATGAATACATGTAGCTGACTGCAACGAAAATTATCCAGGAACGTCGGAAAACTTGCAGTATGAATACAATACAGAGAAACGGCGATCATAATCGTAACAGAAAGAAAATTAACAATTTTGTAAAAGTATTACGAGACATTACTGCTTTATGTTTAAGTAGAGGAAATGAGGCAGTTAGGTTATGTTTGCAAAGTTTAAAAAAAAGGTTGGAAGGATTCGGGCCCACAAAAAAATGCCATGCCTCGATAAAATGTAATGACCAGACTCGTTTGATCGTGACAAGAAAAAAGTCGGAATCAAGAAAGGAATACGGACATTCCCTGCAACAATTACATTGCAGTCAAACGTTCCACCTGTAAGTACCTGCAGTGAGTTGCTCATTTTTAGGTATTGCTACTAAATGCCTAAAGAAAAACCAAATTCTTATCAAATTTAACAAAAAAGGGAAAAGTTTCACAGTTGGATGTTTGGCAGTTACGCAGCCAGATTAGACAAGAGCCAGTTTAACTCAACGAGTTTTCAAATCACGGATGGATTGGTTTCCAAAATAAATACGTGCGTGATTAATGAGGTAACCAACCAGCTAAACAGGAAACAGAAATCGTATCTGCAAACAGAACGATGAAAATGATGGAGAAAAGTGACTGAGGGTTCAGGTAGATGAGTATTATGTACCGGCACCCACCCTACCAAACTTGCTTCAATTAAGCCCCACATCCAACTGCCATCATTGTGTGTGTGAGTGTTCCCTGAATAAACACTGGGTATTTATTTCCCACTTTTGGCACTGTGGATATAGGTCAGCGAGCAAACAACCTGGTCCGCAAACAACGTTAGTTTTTACGCGCCCGTTTTCTTTTTTTCTCTCTTAAGTGTACATGTATATGTACAACGGACTTCCTGTGTATTCTACAAGTCGACCATATTTTTCCCCTCTACACTCTTCTCTCGCTCCCTATGTGTTGACCTTGGGACTTTGCACCGGATTCGTTCTCGGAGGAATTGCCAGAGATTTTTGATTGATATACCTGGCAGTGTGAACCATGCTCGGGGCCCGTTCACGCGGGTAGACCCAGTTCTAGGGCCATAATCACTCCTCTAATCAACTCAAGATCGGGCACAGGGCAATCTGTAGTCACTCAAAATCGGGCCAAGGAGACTTCTGACGAACCTCAAAATTCAGAAGCGCTTTTCTCTCTATCTTCGCAAGTTCATAAACAAAGAATTACCCGCGGCACGATCGACAACCGAACCCCTACTGGGGTCTATCTTCTTGTCTTCCAAGCGAAATTTTGGCACAAAAAATCAAGTCTTGTAAAAAGGAGGCAGAAATGTGCGACACCAGCACAGTTTACATACAAGCAACCTTTGACCCTGGGATTCATAATGGGACACTACAGGCAGTATCGTCTGAACCTTGTACTGTGCCCAGGTTGGCGTGAATTTCAGCAGATGTCTGAATATGCCAACGACATACATGTCTTTAGAATGAATAAGTCACACTCACGTTAGATTTTTATTTCTCTCCGAAACCGAGCCTCAAGGTCCAAGAACTGCGCAGAGAAAGCATGCTAAATGATATACCACCAGGTTGAAGTCGAATATCTCTCTCTGCTGTTAAAACAAATCCGCATATATACTCTGCAGTGTGGGAAAAAACGCCGATAAAGAAACTGGGCAGAGTAACTTTAAAATTTGACGTGACTGCAACAACAGGAGACTGGAGGGAACCAAACAAGTTTCTAAGGGGACATCCCGCCGTGACAATCATGGCGGGTCGTCATGTAGGGTTGACCCCCGTGACCATGCGCAATGTGTGCTCACAGCGCCATGTTTCCGGCCTCATGCACAAACACCGCAAGTGAACGGCAATATGCAGCAAAGATCGTGTCTCTCTATGGATCCTTCATTAATACGAAAAAAAGAGTGCAATCGAGAGTGTTTATCTCCCATGATTTATTGGTGACTTTCGAGGAAAAGGGGAAAGGGTCAGTCTGCTTGTGCCACAGAAGTACGTCCTGGAAGATTGCTGGTGGCAGATTTGAAATTATTCGGGGCCGGTTAAGAAAAAAGCAGACGGTGATGTGGCAAACACTTGCTTTACCCAAGTTTTACGGCAACAGAAAAGGTAATAAGCGGGGGGAAATCCTTGACATGAAGAAAATGCGTTGTAAATCTTTGGCTAACTACATATTTTTGGCTGAAAGGAATTTTCCATCAGCATCAGCATGGAAGGGACGTGTGAAAAATCTCCCGCAACAAAATACTTGCGCGTCGCTGGAGTTTTCCACCCGACTTCACGCTCGTTCTGAACGGCACAATAATTGCAGCCGTACCCGTTTGGGGGGGGGGAATTGTTCTCTCCCTCTTTCGGTAGGGCTGCGCTCAGTCAATTCTGACGGTCGGCGGAGCACGCTGAATTACACAGCCGGCCAGACTGACAAAGCTGTACTTGCAAAGCTCGGCTACCAGCACCAAACACCCCTATAGTTATGATAATGCTGTGGAAATTGTTCACGCATGCATGGTTTTGGGGAGGCTGTTAACTTATTGAACTTTTTCTGGTGATTCTCTTCCCCCATTTTTTTCTTTTCCTTTTTTTTTATTTGGCTCGTGCAAAGTGACAAGTGCTCGAACAGGATCATCACATCGTACGACGCTCCGCAAGTTTGGAAGAAAGATACGGGGGGGGGGGAAACGAGAGGAAATAACCCTTGAAAAGTTTCACAGGTTCTGGCCACTAATGACTCCTACTTATGGCCGAGTGCGAGCTTAAGTTGCCCGGAGGCTAGAGGACCTCTTTTCGACACACCACCGCGGGTGAACCCCCGTTTAGGAATTATTCAATAGAGTAGTATTGACTGGCACTCGATAAGGTTTTTACAGCTCCATTGAGAGCTTTTATATTGTCCTCGTGTGAAAAGCTGCCGGAAACCGTGTGTAGTAGTTGTGGACAGGGAGGTTGGCCGCCTGCTTTTTCGGGGGGGGGGACAGAATGGGTGATCCGATAGCGCGGTCCTAAAACACGAACGAGTTTCGTAAAGGCTTCGCATCTTTGCCGCTACTTAGATTCCCCCGACAAATCTAACCTGAATACTGTCCGCGAGTTAACGTTATTATACCACAACATGATTTTATACAACCAGTTTTCAGTTTCACAAACAATCCAAAATGATGGCTAATACAACAAAACTTGATGCTTACAGAGTAGATTTGATAGACGTGTTGTGAAAACACGAAGGAAAATGCTCCGCTGTAGACCAAACAAACCGACCACAATGACCTTTGACATCCAGAGTAATGTTTATATATAATATATATGTATGTATGTACGTATGTACACATATATAATATACATGTATATACATATATAAATATACACAGTACATTATTACGTATATAGACTTAAATACCAGTGGGACCCTTGCAGCTTTCCAGCTCAACATGTCGGGTTGAAAACATTTTCCTTGGAAAAGATGAAATACGAGATATCGGAACGAGACGTTAAACAAACATCTGACCAACTCAGTGATTGCTGGGCCGGTTTGTGTTTCCCAACTCGGGAAAGCTGGAAAGCGCGGGAAAACGGCAAGGTCAATCTGTTTGTGTGTGTGTACTTGATTTCTAAGTTAAGGTTGTTTTGGGCCCGGTGTACTACTAGTCCACCTGCGTTTCAGCTGAATTCTAAATTGGAATTGGATCCCGTTCAGGCCTTTATAATCGGTTTGTCTTTGGGTCACAAGACGCCTTCAATTACTACAACCGTACATTTTTATACACAATATATTTAGCACACTATCTAGGTGTAGTGTTCATTGCACCATTTTTCCCATGAATAATAAAAATAATTCAATTTTACGCAGGTCCCCTACCGTGGGACGGTACATTTACACATGTGAGTGGGTTTTATCCCCTCTGCTATCACTGTGACTGCGTACAATTTCTCTACCCTGGGGTGTGAGAGACGCTGTGGACTCTCCCTCCCCCATGGTTTGTGCTACCGATTGGGTCTGATCCACACGAGATGTCTGCCTCTGGTAACCAGAATTCCTTGCACTGTGGATGCACTAAATCCCTGGCTTTCCGGTAGATGTCTCAGCGTTGGTGATGCCGACTCCAGCGTTCTCATGTTGCGTGGCAACGTCACCAGCGACGACGCTGGCTGCTGGCCGGCTGCTGGCCCTGCAACTTGAGAGTTGGCTCCGTAGCCACCGCACTGATATAATATCCTTGAGTTACGGAAACTCTGCCGTGGTGGCCACGTGGCGAGGCATGTCATTGACTCCGCGGGGCGCGCAGTAACCGCGGCCCGCCAGCCCGGAACGGGGCGTCCCGCTGGCCCCAACCGTTGTCGAATGTACTTCATGTTGGCCGGCAGGCTGGGAACTACCGAACCTGCACAAGACCACGAGGATGAGGACTGCGGCAATGCTACACAAAACTGTAATCCTGATCCTCGCACTTGCAACCGTCCCTGGCAAAGCAGAGTTTGCGGGCCGATATGCACCCTCGCCCAGGCAAGTAGCACCGGAGACAGGGCAATACCAGCGGAATCATTCCCATAAGCGACCATCTCAGACGGCATTTTTTGTCCCCGCAAGAGCACGGCTTGTCACTCCACGAATAGTCATCGTGGTTGCTGTCCGCTAAGTGGTAAAATAATCCCTTGACGCAACACAGGCAAGTGCAATACTCCAAGGTGTTCTCAGCCGAGCACTCGTACCTGTCTCCGCAGAGCCAGGCGTGGGGCAACTCTGTTCTGGCTCGGCACTTGTCGCAGTAGCATCTCCCACAAAACGGGCAATAGAGAGGTTTCTTGCTGTCGTAAACTGGGGTCCCACCCTGGGCACTGGCGTCACTGCCCTCTTCGCTAGTCCTAATGACTTCCCGTTTGGCGAGTTTCAAGACTTTGGTCTTGCCACGGTCCGAGATGACAATGCAGGTTGACCGGTGGGCACGGTGGTGATGCCCCCCTGACAAGACGACAGTGGGGCTCTCGTTGTTATTCCGTTTGTTGTAGAGCGTCTCGATGCCCGGAGCGTCCACGTACTCGTTCCTACGGGCCTACCGCTCCAGAGGGGCGCTTTGCAGGGCCAGGAGGTCGAGGGTTCTTTCGGGCCACTATAGGCAATTACACTATTGTCAAGTTGTGATTCATTTTTTATCGAGGTGTCACCCTAATAAACACCGCAAGATCAATATATTGGTAAAATATGCCTATTGGGGCGACACAAGCAAAATGTCGCCCTGACTATTGGTCCTTTCCAGCTCAACTGTGCAAACAAGTGTGTGTTTTTAAAATTTACCATTTCTACCCACCAAAGCAATGCAGGCTTGAATGACCTTTTGTACAAGATGATTTCAAGTGCACATTTTGTTTCAGCAATCTTCCTCTACCCTTACAACATTATACCAAAGCATGTGTTGTCATTACTATTCTTCTGTTCCTTTGAAAAGAATTGCCCTGATGAACAATATGCGGCCNAGGCCGATATGCACCCTCGCCCAGGCAAGTAGCACCAGAGACAGGGCAATACCAGTGAGATCATTCCCATAAGCGACCATCTCAGACAGCATTTTTTGTCCCCGCAAGAGCACGGCTTGTCACTCCACGAATAGTCATCGTGGTTGCTGTCCGCTAAGTGGTAAAATAATCCCTTGACGCAACAGAGGCAAGTGCAATACTCCAAGGTGTTCTCAGCCGAGCACTCGTACCTGTCTCCGCAGAGCCAGGCGTGGGGCAACTCTGTTCTGGCTCGGCACTTGTCGCAGCAGCATCTCCCGCAAAACGGGCAATAGAGAGGTTTCTTGCTGTCGTAAACTGGGGTCCCACCCTGGGCACTGGCGTCACTGCCCTCTTCGCTAGTCCTACTGACTTCCCGTTTGGCGAGTTTCAAGACTTTGGTCTTGCCACGGTCCGAGATGACAATGCAGGTTGACCGGTGGGCACGGTGGTGATGCCCCCCTGACAAGACGACAGTGGGGCTCTCGTTGTTATTCCGTTTGTTGTAGAGCGTCTCGATGCCCGGAGCGTCCACGTACTCGTTCCTACGGGCCTGCCGCTCCAGAGGGGCGCTTTGCAGGGCCGGGAGGTCGAGGGTCCGGATCTGTTGCTGCCCACTAGACTGCCGCAAAGACCTGGTCAATCCAGACCGGGGCTGCCGCGATATCACGCCATTTCCATCCTGTGCCATGGATGCAACATGCGGCAAGCCGGTGCTCCATAAACTCTGTACAACAAGCAAAAACAACACAGTGAAAGAACAAAAACAAAAGAGCATATAGACATACATCTGGTTTTATATTTTATGGTCATGAAGTCATGAAAGTCACGCAACAGAGAAAAATATTGGGAGCCGGTTGATCTTTGCTCGCAGGTTGCTCGTGAATGATTAGGGCGACCTTGATACGGGGATTCTGGCATAACTGCCACAGACAACTCCAAAATCAGCTGGGTTTACTTTGGGGGTAGAGGTATACGTACGGCCTACCACAACGGGTATAAAACAAGAGATTTACGGTCAATCACTGCACCACAAGGATAAAGGTAAATTGCCATAAGAAGACACAACACGAGTATAAGTATGGACATGATGGAGGATAAGTTACCATGATCATGCTGAATATGTGTGTCCACCAACGGCAACACAACCGTGAGGAGAGGAACGTCAGGCAGAGAGGTTATCAACACAATAATCGCAAGCTTGTACCAGAAACTACTGCCAGTCTCTACGCAATGTAAGCACCGACTGTCACCCCCGGGTTAATGATATGAACTCTATCCGGTGCCCTGTGTTTATAGTCCCACTAAGTCCCCTGACTCGGAACTGTCTAATCAAGCAGTGGAAATGATCCTGGTCTGGAGCCGGACGCGCAGAGCGGAGGCATGGGATATCAGGCCGACCCAAATGGGACTTATCATACACGTGTTGATAGTGCACCAAGTCTTTCACTCACTCGGTTCTTCCCACTTGGCTTACGGACCCTTCCATTTCAAATTTTAGATATAGATTGTTTAAGCCTTTACACATTGGATGGAAACAGGAACTTGAAAGTGGCTCAAAGCTATTACCAACTGCCTGCCTGTTTAGGGAAACACATCATGTGACGTTTTACGGGCCCTCTCTGAACGAAAGTCTTATTATTTTTCTCGCCATCACTCAGTCCCGTCTGTAAGTCCGCATGCCTATGAGTATGACGGGATCCTCGGTCCATTCCTTTCTCTATGGTCCATTTCACTGGTACCAGGTACCGGTAGCTGATCCCATGCCAGAAAAAAAGGCTGACTGTGAGGGTCTGCGAAAACAGTTTCCCCGCAGTCGGTGAGTCTGGGCGAGGGGATCAGTTCCCGCCAAATGATTTTCGCAGTCACAACTTCTTTCCATACACTCACACAGCACCAAAGAAAGTTTCCCACTTTCTTTGCGAAGAATGAGACCCTGAGAAAGGTTAACAGTTCAAGCACACACATACTCTCTCTTCTCTCTCTCTGCATCAAAAACTCTTTACTTTGTATTTCTGCAGCACTATGGGCTTCTGGGCTGAGGAAAGGACAGGTTGAAAATGTTGCACATCATTCTGCCTGTCAAAATGCAATTACTAATCTCCTTCAAGAATCAAGAGATAGAAGGGGCTCGGCAGATTGATTGAGGCAACAAGAACACAATCGACGTACCTTGTCACACAGGTCGTGGAATTTCCTTTCATCAACCCCAACACAATCCCTTTTTGAAGCATTTAACAAACATACATTTTTTCTTTACTCTGGCCCATGATGTTTAGCGAGAAACTGGCCTTGGTAAATCAATTTTCCAGGATATGACCGAGAATCAGTTTATCCAAACCCACCAAATTGTTTATCAACCTCGGCGCCTACAAATACCCGATAATCAACGATAATGAACGTGCTACCAACGCGCGCATTTTAATCCGAGGTGCTGTCTGTGGCAAGAAAAGGGGGACACAATTTCGAAACAGTGAATTCGAGTACTTTACACAACCAACGAAGGTGCCGATGCGAACAAGCGCTGAAATTAACTTGACAAGTTCACACTGAGCACTACGAAGTGCAGTGATTACTTTATGGTTATATCCATTTCACCATGATTTGTCCCGGGTATCCACTGACATTTCTCACTGCTATAATTATGTTTATTAACACTGCCCACAGGTAAAGCGATCGCGGAGCTACCTCGTCCGTGGTCCATACAAGTTATCCCTGAAATAGCACAGGCCCCTGAGGGACTTGACGAAAAAACCACAAACCTGGTCGGCTTGAATTTCATTTCCACACTGAAAAAAAACTGACTGTGCGCACTGTAAGTGTGGACTCAACTAAAAGTATAAACATGGAGCTATGATGGTAAAACCATCCACAAGAAGTGCGGAGGTACAACATAATTGAGAACGTTGCTTGCTTGCATGGTTCACACCAAAAATACGTACACATCACTACAGAGAATTTTTATGCCTAATTTCCAGTTCTTTTTGACACTACTTTAACATGACGAAGAGCCACGTAAGTATAAAGAGAAAAGGAGCAATCCGTTTTACAGATGCACAGATAAAATGGACTGACATGTATGTTCGATGCAGATACGGACTTTTTTTGAAAGAAAAAACTCAAGAGGAGGCCAATTCCAAGTGGGATGCTTCCAAGATTGTGCGTCGGCACACTACAGATCGCGGCACCACGCGCACGCTGTGTTACCGTGATCTCCCAAACCCTAAATGATAATGATGATCTCTGTGACAAGAGAACTTACAGTCTGATGTGTTCAGGCAGCGCCTGTCGCTCTGTGCTTCTAGTCATGCGTCCCGAGTGAAGGTATAGAAATCCAAGCCAATCCGTGTGTGCATCACGACCTAGAGAACAGCGCGTAGCTTTCCATGTGGCGCAGCGTCAATCACAGAGCTAGATATTCCAGTTTGGCTCCCGACGACCGTGTAGTAAAAAATTACACCAAATACTGCAGGTTTGCGGAGGTACCGTGACTACATGCAGAGATTCAAGTGCTCTAGCGTCCAGCCAGCACTGTTCCGGTCTCAACCGAAGGACTTTATTTACTGCGGGGCGGAATTCTTTCACTAGCGAACGGCAAGCAGGCACTTGGATATTGATATGTAAATGCAAGGGGCGTACTCTTGGGGCGGCACCATTACTCCGTAGGAGGTTTTCTACGGCTGTCACCTCCGTTTCCGGAGTAGCTGAGGCTGCCCTCGGATACCAGCTGTGACCGGATGGATTTCATCACATTCTAAATTCCTCGCAGTGTAGTATTACAAATAAACAAACGGCCGGGGAAGTCGGTCAATCTTTTTTTTAATGCCCGAGACATATTTCACGTAATTATTCCATCACATCCTGTCCCCTCAGAACGTTTGACAGACTCCCCCTTTCTAATCCAGTTGGTCGAGTCCAAGATTTGCCTTATTTGGACAGCGGTCTGTCAACATCCTGGGCGAATGATTTGCTAGCCGCTAATCTCCAGGGATCAGGCATTTCCGGTCTTATCGTGTTCCGTTTTGCAGGTTTATCGAAAACAAACCCGCCAATGCACGGAGGTTTTTGCTTTCCAGGCACGGATCGGTGTCGGCTGTGCCATGCGTGCCACAGCGTTGGTGTGCGTTGTTTACTAGAGACAGCTGCTAGCGTCCCCTATCGTCGCGTTTTCAGCCGTCACGTCTGTATCGCCTATCGTGCTTCGTCGCAGGGACGGCCCAGGTCACACGAGGCAGGCGGGACGGCTTCTCCAGTAGATTTCGTCACAGCACGGAGGATTTTTCTGACCGTCCCTTACAGCGGGCTACATCCGAGTGGCATTAAGATGTCATGCTCTTAAATTACGGCGGATGGAAACGATACAACCTTCCAGGCACTCTCATTATATTAAAAGCATGTAGCATTGAAGAAACATTGCAAGTAATAAATACATGTATCCAGAAAACCTCAGACTGAAATGGTGCGTGCATCGTATAGGTCGTGTTATTTATTTATTTTTTCTTATTTAAAAAAAACTTTTAACACTATGTTGTCAGTACTCAGACAAATGCAATTTTTTCATGTTTTCCATTTAGGAAGACTTTCCGCTGTAAATATAGCATAGCAAGACCATCCGGTCTGAGGACGTGTGAGTTACATACGTGATACACGAAAAGCGAGAGGACAAACTTGAATGACGAGACAACGTGCAACTGGAAGTATCGTGCCTGAAAAACGTGAGGTTATCTATCGTCCGTAGACTAACTTTCGAGTTACTGAAAAGGGTTTGCATATCTATTCAGGTAACTTGATAAAGATGTGTTGTCCTGTCTCATTTGAAAAAGAACTTTCAGCCCAAGTTTCCTGCTTGGTATCGTCGCAATTTTAGAACATGAAGTCGCTTCGTGAAGTTGCGATTAGAGCCGGCTCTAGAAAGGTCACAAGTTGAAAAGGTCTTGAAGAGAAGGCCAGACCGAGAGCTCAACAACGGCTCTAGCTATGGGCTCATCAAAAATACACCCCTTGGGAAAAAGCTCTGGATGGAATGGTTAGTAAACAAGCTCCGCAGACCCTTCTTCGCAAATGAAGGGGGGACAATCAAGGCGAAAAAGCCACGTGGAAGTGTTTCATTAAGCCTCCATTTCCAGCGGTCTTGTATCGCCAAAAAAAAAAACCTCATTACGGCCGGCCCGACAATGGCAGAAATGACCAGGGAGGTATCAAGAAGTGTTTTAAGAGCGAAGTCGGAAGCTGCGGTATACACTCGGGAGAAGTGGAGGGTTTTGTCTGTCCACGCTCGAGGTTACCGCACAAAAGTGTTGTGTCTTGCCGAGGGGATTTTGCACAAAGGCCCGTTTCGCGGATGAAAGCCGCCTCCAGTCAATTCTTCGCCGTCTAGTGATAATCGTCCACCTTCCTCCGAATAACAGCAAACCAACGACACGATACAGAAGTGACTGCTGTATACCAACTCAAAAGCAGAAGCTCTCAATGGTTGATATACATTCGAATGGTAGACCCCAAGCCCCAGCCACAAAAAAGCCCGTATTAGAATATATCGATCGGGCTGGTAATGATGTTAAACCACTCGTGATGAACACTCCGGTTAAAGATCTCTTTAAGGAGTTGTTATGCCCAAAGTCACAAACACGTCTAAGCCCAAACACCGGGAGAGTTGCAAGGGAGGAACACGGGGAAGGAACAGACCGACTGCCCGCTGACTGCATAAATGATTTTTTTTGAAGGGAC